ATCAACAACAAGAGGAAAGCTGGAAAATCTACAAATATGTGGAAACTGAAAAATACACTTCTGAACAACCAGTGGGTTAAAGAAGAAATCAAAAGGAAATTAGAAAATTATCTCAAAACAAATGAAAATGGAAATACGACAAATCAAATCTTATCAAATGCAGCAAAGCAATTCTGAGAGGAACGTTTACAGTGATAAACGCATATACTAAGAAATTAGAAAGTTCTCAAACAGTCAACTTAACTTTACACCTTGAAGAATTAAAAAAAAGAAGAACAAATTAAGCCCAGAGTTAGCAGAAAGAAGGACATAATAAAGATCTCTGCAGAAGTAAATGAAATAGACACCAGATAAACAATAGAAAGGATCAATGAAACTAAAGGCTGGCTCTACAAAAAGATAAACAAAATTGGCAAACCTTTAGCCAGGCTAACTATGGAAAAAAGAAAACTCAAATAGATAAAGTTAAAAAGAAGATATTACAACTGATACTACAGAAATACATAGGACTATAAGAGACTATTATGAAAAATTATATGCCAACAAATTAGATAACCTAGAAAAAATAAATTTCTAGAAACACAAAACCTACCAAGACTGAATCAGGAAGAAATAGAAAATCTGCACAGACCAGTAATGAGCAAAGTTTGGATCAGTAATCGAAAACCCCCCAACACAGAAAACCCTAGGGCCAGATGGATTCACTGGTGAATTCTACCAAAATTTAAAGAATAATTAACATCAATTTTCCTCAAATTCTTCCAAAAAATTAAAGAGGTGTGAATACTTCCAAATTCATTCTATGAGGCCAGCATTAGATTACTTTGGTAACAAAGCCAGACAGGGACAACACAAGAAAAGAAAACTATAGACCAATATCTCTGATAAATACAGGTCCAAAAATTCTCAACAAAAAATTAGCAAAACAAATTCAAGAACACATAAAATGGATTATACACCACAACCAAGTGGGATTTACCCCTGGGAGATGCAAGGATGGTCCAACATATACAAATCAATAAATTTAATACATCACATTAATAAAATTAAAGATAAAAACTTACATGATCATGTCAATACATGCAGAAAAAGCATTTGACAAAATGACATCCTTCCATGATAAAAAGTCTTGGCAGATTGGGTATAGAGGAATATATCTTAACATAATAAAGGTCAGCCATAACAAATCCACAGCTAACATTATACAAAATGGAGAAAAACTTGGAAGCTTTTCCCCTAAGATCAGGAACAATACAAGGATGCCCACTCTTACAACTCTAATTCGGTATAATACTGGAAGTCCTAGCTAGAGTGAATATGCAAGATAGGGAAATAAAAGGCATCCAAATCAGGATGGGAGAAGTAAAAGTGTTGCTACTTGCAGATGATATGATTCTGTATATAGAAAATCTGAAATGCTCAACCCAAACACTGTTGGAACTAATCAATTATTTCAGTAAAGTTGCAAGATACAAAATCAATATAGATAAATCAGTTGCATTTTTATACACAAAGGATGAAACATTTGAATAAGAATAAAGAAAAATTTTCCATTCACAATAGCATGAAAAAGATAAAATACTTAGGAATAAATTTAACCAAGGAACTGAAAGATCTGCACAACAAAACTCACAAGACTTTGCTGAAACAAATAGAACAAGACACAAACTAATGGAAAGATACCCCATGTTCATGGGTCAAAAGAATTAATACTGTTAAAATGTCTATATTATTCAAACCCATATATAGATTTAATGCAATCCACATAAAAATACCAATGGCATTCTTCACAGAAATAGAAAAAGAATCTTAAAATGTATATGTAACCACAGAAGACTTTGAAGAGCCAAAGCAATACTGATGAAAAAGAACAAAACTGGAGGTATTACAATTCCTGATTTCAAACTACACTACAAAACTACAATAATAAAAAACAGCACAGTACTAGTACAAAAATAAACACATAGACCAATAGAACAGAACAGAGAGCCCAGAATTAATCCCCTGCTTATACAGTCAATGAATATTTGATAAGGGAGGCAAGAGCACCCAATGGGAAAAGGATAGTCTCTTCAACAATTGGTGCTGGGAAAACTGGATGAACACATGCAGAGCAATGAAACTGGATCCCTATATTATATCACTCACAAAAAGTATCTTGAAGTGGATCAAAGATTTAAATATAAGACCTGATATTATAAGACTCTTAGAAGGAAGTGTAGGGAAGAGGCTCTTAACATTAGTCATGACAATGACTTTTTCAATACAATACCAACAAAAGCACAAACAACAAAAGGAAAAATCATCAAACTTAAAACTTAAAAGCTTTTGTGCAGCAAAAGAAACAATTAGCAAAATTAAAAGGAAACCTACAGAATGGGGGGACATTTTTGCAAACCATATATTGGATAAGGGGTTTAATATATAAAGAATTCATACAACTCAATAACAAAAAACAAAAAATCTGATTGAAAAATGGGCACAACTAAACAATTTTCAAAAGAAGACATACAAATGGTCAACAGGTACATAAAAAGATGGTCAACATCACTAATCATCAGGGAAATGCAGATTAAAACCACAATGGGATATCACCTCACATCTGTTAGAATGGCTGTCATCAAGAAGACAAGAGATGACTAGTGGTGATGAGGATGTGGAGAAAAGGGAACACTTGTACAAATGTGGTAGGAATGTAAATTGGTGTGGCCACTATGGAAAATATATGGAGGTTCCTAAAAAATCTTAAAATAGATCCAGGAATTCCACCTCTGAGTATTTATCTAAAGAAAATGAAAACACTAACTCAAAAAGGTGTATGCCCTCCCATATTCATGATGGCATTAGTTACAATAGCAAAGATATAGAAACAACCTAAGTGTCCATCAATAGATGAATGGGTAAAGAAAATGTGGTACATATACAATGAAATATTGAAAGATGGACATCCTACCATTTGTGACAACATGGATGGACTTTTAGCGCATTATGCTAAGTGAGATTTGTGACAACATGGATGGAATTTTAGCACGTTATGATAAATGAGATGTCAGACAGAGGAAGACAAGAACTGTATGATACCACTTACATGTGGAATGTAAAAAAGCCAAGTTTTAAAAACAGAATAAAATGGTGGTTACCAGGGGATGGGAGGACAGGATGGATGTTGTCTAAGAGTATAAACTTACAACAAGTAGAAAATATGCCTTAGAGATGCACAGATCAATGAATATAGACAGCAACATTGTACTATAATCATAAAACTTGCTGAGAGACTAGAAACTAATTATTCCAACTACTAATAAAGAATAATTATGTAATGTGATGCAGGTAATAATTATTCCTATGATGGCAATCATATTACAATATATGAATGTACATCTTAAATTTACACAAAGCTAATATATTTCAAAAAAAAGGTTGAAAAGAAAATATAAAAGATAAGACATGAGGAAATAATCACAGATTTGGGGTAATAAAATGCTAAATAACTACTATGTTCTATCACAACATAGTAACTTAAAACATACTGGTATAATTGACTATTCATACGTTCACATGTACACACATGACCAATATTGACTCAGTTAAATATTTATTGACCTATAAATATAGTAGAAGTGGAAACATTTTTCATTAAAGATAACCTCCTACAAAAGGTGCCAGACCTTGAAAATTGTATATAGTAAATGATAATACCTTGCTAATTTGAATTTTTTTCAGAGAATTTAAAATTTTTTGGCAAGTAAAGAAGGCACCTTTTATAGTTTCTCATTTATGTCTTTGGATATCTATTATTTTATGGAGGGAAAATAACCCAATGGGAAAAGGACAGTAATTTTTGGAGGAATACCTGTGAATACAATGAACATATTCATTGTAGGAAATTTATAAAATGTGGACAAACAAAAAATGATAAAGTCCAAAAATAAATATTCTTAATAATGTATATTGTTTCAGATATGTGTGTGCACGTGCATGTGTGTCTATGGTTATATTTTCTATGGTATATTTGGTGGCTGAATAATGTTCTGGGATGTAGATATATAGATATACTATCTATTGCTACTTGGATGTGGCATCTCTATCTCTAATTTTTCATGGTATACTTTTTACCTTTCTTAAAAACTTATAATCATTTTTAATAAGCCTTATGTCTTCCATCAGCTATTTACAAACCATGATTTCTAACATTTTCCACTACCATAAATATTGTTGCATTGAGTGTCTTTGGATGAAAATCACGGGAAAAGTCCATGATGATTATTTTCTTGGGATAAATTCTGGGAAATGGAATTGCTAGGTCAAAGGGTATTTGCATTTAAGGCTTTAGTATATATTGCTCATTAGCCTTCCAGAAGTTTGTGCCCACTTTTACGGCCATCAATTCTGCATGTGATACTGATTTCTTCACAGCCTTAATACTTTACCAATTTGCAATCATTCTTCTATGTTCCTCAAAATTTTGGAGATTCACTTTACAATATTCCATTGAAAAGATGAATGGCCAACTAATCAAGAACAAATACGACTAGGGCATGAGCTTGGAAGAATTTGAGGGAAGAATAAAGAGCAGAATAACCCGAGGCTTGGGAAAATTGCTAAGGATTGCAAGATCTTTTATGCTTCAGAGTAAGAATGATAAGGAAGGGAGTAATCTACTTCCTGGGCTTATAATGTGATATTAAGAGGTTGTAGAGACAAAATTAATTTTCTTTAGTATCTTTTAAGTTTAGTCACTAAGGAGAATGATCATTATACTGCGAGTTTATTATCAAAGTAGGAAAGTGGGGCAATTTTACCTGAGTTTAAGTCCACAGTTTCAGATAAATTACCTCCTAAAGTGAAGAAAAACCAGGAGGACCGTGCAGCACATGACTCCAAGTTTCAAACAACTGAGAGACAACTCTGTGCAAGAAGGATTCAATTCCTTCTTCATAATTCCAAGGACAAATAAGGATCAAATGGAGGGAATGATGGGAAAAAATAATTCAACTCACTCTCACAAATAGGTGCCTTCTTATCCCAAGTGACATCAATGCCTGAGAGGAGACAAGTAGCAGAAGGGGAACCAATGAGTCGATACCTAGAAGCAAAGAATGAAAAATGGTTAGACTCTACACAGATTTCCCACTTAAATCACCATGAGAAAACAATAGCAGGAGGATGTTACAAATTACAGGACAGATTAAAACATGAGAGACCTCAAGAAAGAAACCCCATCTCCACCTATAAATTAGTCTTTATTCTTCAGGGCAAGCTAAAATTCGTACCTCTTTAATCCATCTCCATTCCTAGTCCCCTCACAACTCATTGCAATATTCCCGTTATTAATCATGGGACACTTCTGTACTTGTCTTAAAGGTACCTCAGAATTATTTTATCCATTTGTACTTTCAGCTAAGAAATTATAAGCGCTTGATTAGGAGGGAAGATGCCTTACTGAAATACATACACTCTTTAGCACCTAGCCTAGAGACTTTCAAGCATGTGGTGCTCAAAAATATCTACTGAGTGAAGGAAAGAATGATGGCTTTACCCTGAAGACTTAGTAAATGAGAGTCAGAGGAAACAGCTAACCATTTTACCTTTCAAATGTAGAAAGCAGGGGTACTCACCCACTGTGTCATAAAATCATTCAAAGTAGGTCACAAAAATTGAAACTTCATCATTTATTTTTTCTTTATTACATCTCTATGTTGTTACTGTGAGAAATGTCACAAAAGATACTCAGCCAAGCTATTCATATGTTCCAATGTACAGCAGGGCTAAACTTGATAAAGTAAAAGGTGATGGGTGTAATGCAAAGTCACATAACAGTGAGGTAGTTAATGCAACAGTTAAGAAACCTGTCTTTTGATTACCTAGGACATGTGATCAGGGCAGTACCCATTTGTAGCAGAGACTGCTGGAATCTCCAGCATCCACTTTTCTTCATTATTAACATGACCCTGTATTTTTAACTGGGCCATTGGCCACTTTCAATAACAGCTTCACTTCTCAGCTTCCCTTACAGCCGTGTGACTATGTTCTGGCTAGAGGGATGTAAATGGAGTGTCTGGAAAGTGCCTTCACAGGGATAAGTGTTCCCTTCCTCCGTTCTTCCTCTTTGCTAAATGGAGTTTGGACCATGAGTTGAGATGGACTCTCTAATGGAAGGATCCCAGGTTTCTGTGGATCTTAGAGCCACTGTATGAGCCCTGGGCCGCCATGGTTCTTAACATGAGAGATAAGTGAACTGCTATCTTGTTCAAGCTCCTGCTATTTTGTGTTTTTTCTGTCTTTTATAACTTAATCTAATCTTAACTGGTATACCAGCTCTTCCCAAAACAGTAACAAAAAGATGGTGGGAACCACGCTGGTAGAGCAATGACAGTGAATATTTTGGTAGACATGGTAAGTCACTTTTATATTTAGGTAGTGATTAAATTTTACTTATTGTTACCTTGTTTTTTATGAGCTGTGTTCTAAAATCTTTTAAGTGTGCCAACAAATATTTAATCTTCAAAATGTCTGCAAACCAACATTTTGAGAACCACTTTAGTAAGGAAAGAGGATAATCATCCCTGTACTACATGTGTGTTTCCTTCCGCCTGTCTCCCATCATACATTTAAATGTTGCCTTAGGAGCACAGGGTCATGGGTATCCTCTGACTTTTGACCTTATAAAGGCTGCTCTTAATGTACTCACTATGACTAAACTAGAGCTTTGGAGTAAAAATGTGAAGCAGGTTCCAGCCCCTGTATGACTGTAAAAAGCAGTGAATATTTTTGAACATATTGTAAGACACTAGTATGCTGCAGTAGTGATTATGTTGTAATATTTGTCCTGGATGGATTTTCCATCTCTGTGAATTACTTTTACTGGAGCCCACTCAGTTCCCCTGAGCATTAGAAATCTGTATAGTTTTCTGTATAGAACCACTCTAAATTGTTGTTCAAGAGCCATGAGATTCCTTTCCCTATAAGCATCATACATACTGTGGAGAAGCATGCTGAGGCACTGGACAGCCCATTAAGTAAGGTCAGGGATGGGAGAATCAAGGGTTAGGATGGTGTCATTTTTATCTTTTCCTATTTGTTCATGTACTTTGAACTATTTAGCAGTGGAGGCAATCTATGGAGACATTCAGTAGGCTGCAAATTACTAAAAGTAGCTCACAGATATGATTTTCAGCAGCCCTCTTTTTTTTTAAAAAAAAAAAGAAATTTAAAATTGAATTTTATTGGCTTATAAAAGTTAACATACATTCATTGTAGACATATTTGGAAGTTGTGAATAACCCAAAGATCAAAAATATCACCACCCAAGATAGCACCACTTGTAGTAGCTAATATTTTGCTATGAATCCTTCTAGCCTTTTTATCTAAAAATATACGTGTAACCCAGATGTCAACTGGGCTTAGCTACCTTTAGAAGGAAGAGCTGGTTAAATTGGACACAAGCACCAATTCTACATTTGTAAAGTACAGATTCCCATCTGCCCTCCAAACCCCTCCAAACATTCTCACATTTCTCAGCTCCATCAGTCCTACAGATGACTGCAGCCCCAGTCAACATCAAAGGCACTATCAAGAGAGTGAAAAGATAAAAGGATAAAAGAAAATATGTGTAAATCATTTATCTGAGAAGTGTTTAATATACAGAATATATAAAGAATGCCTATAACACAACAACAAAAAGACAAACAACCCAATTGAAAAATGGACAAAGAACTTGAATGGACATTTTTCTAAAAAAGATATACAAATGTACAAAAGATATACACATGAAAAGATACTAACAATTATTAGTCATTAGGGAAATCCAAGTCAAACCCAATTCAGACCTTCCAGGATGGATGGCTATAATAATAACTTTTTTGAGTTTTTTTTTTAATAATAACTTTTTAAAAATGGAAAATAAAAGTGTTGGTGAAGATGTGGAGAAAATGGAATGCTTGTAATTGTTGGTGGGAATGTAAAATGGTGCAGCCACTGTAGAAAACAGTTTGGCTATTCCTCAAAAAGTTAAATATATAATTAACATATGGTCTAGCAATTCCAATCCTAGCTATATATCCAAAAAGACTGACAACAGAGACTCAAGTAGATACAGGTTTATCAGCTGATTTATGTATTTTTAAGTACATCCTGGAAATTGTATTTTTCCTACAAAATGGCACATCTCATGGATGTTTTCAATTTCATTAGGCTAGAGAGGATATACTATTTTTATTTAGTATTGATTGAATCCCTTCAATATCTACGATATCTCCTTTCTCATTCACGTGTATTGGCAGATTTGTTATTTTGTGAAATTACAATTGGCCAAATTCCGTTTGTTTAATTGGCCACTTTAAGAAACTACTCTGAGATTTTTACTTATCGTTTCCCTTTTTCCTTTTTATTAATTTCCTTTCTTTATTAATTTCTTAGTCCAGCTTCTTTTATATGTTCATGTTCTAGTCATTTAAAAATTCTTAGGTAAAATGTGTTGTTCATTTGTTTGAAAACTTTTTGTCAGATAACAAAAGTATTGACTATTTCTCTAAGGACAGTTTTGGCATCAGCATCCCAGAAATTTTCATGAGTAATATTTGCACCAGCATTCATAACGAACAGGCTGAATAATGTAAGGTTTACCAATACGGGCTGTGGAGGCAGACTGGCAATATTCAAATTCTAACCTCAACCTCTGTCCTGTGAGTTTTGGTAAATTGGTTCATTTCTCTGTCTTAGTTTCTCTTCTGTAAAATGGGGCTATGTGTAATATTCACTTCAAAGAGTCATTTTCAAGAGTAAGTTAATTTATGTAAAGCACTAGAAGAGTTCTCAGGGCTCATGCACTCAATAATCATTCCTTATTGTTATTTGATATGTAATCTGCAATGTCTGTTTTAATTTTCTCTTTGACTAAGATCCAAAACTTGAATTTTTATTTATTCTTTTGTCATTAATTCCTAGTGTTATTTTTATTATAATAAGAGTATATAGCTGTTTTAGTTTCTCCTGTGTTCAAATCTATTGAGGTACACCCTGTGGAGTGATATGCTATCAACTCTTATAAATGGTCCCTAGAAAGAGTTTACATTCTCTGTAAGGTACAAAATTCAACACACATGTACCAAAGCAGCCTCATCCATCAAAGTCTTATTTTTTGTACCTTTGCTTACCCAACCTGAAGTTTTCAACTATTATTATTATTTTATCAATTTATCTTTTTACTTCTTTTTAGAACCTCCTTGACCTGGAATAATAAAAGAAATTGAGGAAAACTAATGCTCTTTCACCTAACCATAGGCTGGCAAACTGAGTTCTGCAGGCCCCATGTATGCTGTATCACACGTTCATTCATTCACTGTCTAGGGCTACTATCCCACTGCAACTGCAGAGGTGAGTAGTTATAACAGAGATTACACGGCCCACAAATCTGAAAGCATTTACTCTCTGGGTCTTGACAGAAAAAGTTGGCCACCCCTTTGTCAAGGCAATCTGCGTTTTATTTGTCCAGGTTAACATCTGCTCCTTGGCTATTTGTTTATTTAAGTTTAATTTATTTCTTTTCAGTAACTTAACAACAGAAAATTGCAACATATGTTTTTGCTTAGAATACCATGTATTTCAGATAACCCTACTTTCTCTAAGCACATTCAAACATATATATGCATATAGAGTATCTCCTCAAAATTGGTCATTATTTTTCCAAGTTGAAAACAAACTCTACAAATTGTTTTCTCAGTCAATATCACATCATGATCATCCATCCAGATCACTGAATACAGGATCTAATTAAGTCTTTTTGATTGCTGCAAAATAGTGCATGTGTAGATGCCTAACAACTTCTATAGTGGCGGCATCATTTTACATTCTCACCAGCAATGTACAAGGATTCTAATTTCTACACATTCTCACCAACACTTTTTATTTTCTGTTTATTAATAATTATTATTAAAGTCATATTAAGAGGTATGAATGGGTTTGATTTGCATTTACCTAATGGTTAATAATGTTTAGCATTTTTAATGTGTTTATTGGCCATTTGCATACCTCCTTTGGAGAAATGTCTTACTCAAGTCCTTGGCCCATTTAAAATTGGGTAGCTTTTTTCTTGCGGAGTTGTAGAGTTCTTTATATATTCTGTATATTTAATTTTGTCAGATATATGATTTGCAAATATTTTTTCTCATTCTATGAGTTGTCTTTTCACTCTCTTGATAGTGTCTGCTATGGTCTGAATGTTTATGTCTCCCCAAAATTCATATGTTGAAATCCTAACCTCCAAAAGTGATGGCATTAATAAGTAGGGCCTTTAGGAGCTATGTCATAAAGGTGAAGTCCTCATGAGTGGGAGTAATGCTCTTATAAAAGAGACCCCACAGAGCTTCCTAACCCCTCCACCATGTGAGGACACACTAGAAGCATACACCTAGAAGAGGACCTTTGTTGACCCTGCCAACACCCTGACCTCAGACTTCCAGTTCCTAGAATGGTGAGAAATAAAGTTCCGTTGTTTATAAACTACCTAGCCTGTGATATTTTGTTATAGTAAGCTGAATGAGCTTGATAGTGTCTTGATGCAAAAATGTTCTTAATTTTAATGAAACCCAATTTGTCTATGTCTGTTTTTGTTGCCTGTACTTTTGGTGTCATATTTAAGAAACTATTGCCAAATCCACGGTCATGAAGATTTGTCCCTATATTTTCCTCTTAGAATTTTATAATTTTAACTTAATTTTTTTTTTTTTTTTTTTTTTTTGGTACGCGGGCCTCTCACTGCTTTGGCCTCTCCCGTTGCGGAGCGCAGGCTCAGCGGCCATGGCTCACGGGCCCAGCCGCTCTGCGGCATGTGGGATCCTCCCGGACCGGGGCACGAATCCATGTCCCCTGCATCGGCAGGCGGACTCTCAACCACTGCGCCACCAGGGAAGCCTTAATTTTAACTTTTAACTTCAAGCCTTTGATCCATTTTGATTTAGTTTTGTATATGGTGTAAGGTGGCTTCATTGTTTTGCATGTGAATATCCAATTTTCCCAGGACCATTGTTGAAGAGACAGTTCTTTCCACAGTGAGTGGTCCTTGCACCCTTGCTGAAAATCAATTGACCATAAATATGTAGCTTTATTTCTGGGCTATCACTTACTCCGCCGGCCTGTGTGTCTAACTTTATGTCAGTAACATACTATTTTAATGACTATAGCTTTGTAGTAAGTGTTGAAATAAAAAGTGTGAGTCAACCAACTTTGTTCTTTTCAAGACGGTTTGGGTGTTCTGGGTCCCTTGAAATTCCATACAAAATTTAGGATGGTTTTCCATTTCTGCAAAAAATACTGTTGGGATTTTTGTAGGTATTGCCTTGAATCAGTATATCATCACTTTGGGCAGTATTTTCATCTTACCAATACTAAGTCTTCCAATCCAAGAATATGAATGTATTTCCATTTATTAAGTCTTCTTTAATTTCTTTCAGCAATGTTTTATAGTATTCAGTGTATAAGTCTTATGTCTCCTTGGTTAAATTTATGTCTAAGGATTTTATTGTTTGATAAAATTATAAATGGAATTTTTCTATTATTTTATTTTAGAAATGTTTCTTTTAATTATCATGTAGTTTGAAGTTTTATTGACTATATTTAGAAGGCATTGTTCTTCAAAAGGGGAATTTAAGCCATCACAGGTACTGTAATAACTTACACATTTTATCTTGCTTATAGTGTTCTTTCCTTTTATTTATTTAACAATTCCCAGGGTTGGAACTCTGGGAGTACTGTATAAAATGAGCTCCATTCTTGCTCTGCTGATGCTGTTGCCAGCAAGAGAGATAGAAAGCTTCCTAGTTCTTCCTTTTCTTACCCCTCTTTTGTCATATGGACCAAGTGGTTGTGCTTTTTTGATTGCCATTGTGATTTTGAATTTATATATTTTGATTTTATACTAGCATGGAATAATATCTTCTTTATTTATCATGTCAAGAATATGTACTTATCTGTATGTATTATAAGTTAAGCATATATGTATATATATATATTTATTTATTTATTTTACTGCATCACCAACTTCCTAGTTGTTGTGATAAAAATCTATTATTTTATATCAAGTTTACTATACTTCCTTTCATACATGAGTTCTCTTTTAAGAATTAGTTCTGCCATTATATTTAGTTTCACAACCATACTAAAAATAACAACTTTAACTCTGTTTAAATAGTTTTGTGACTCACTACTACTTCTTTGATTTCTTCTTTTAAAAATTTACTCATATTTTTGTGAGAATTATTCTTTTTTCAGGAAGCATATCTAATTGGCATATGTTTTGGGTTCTTACTCATGTAAGACTATACATCTGTGCCTTGGAGATAAATGACAGCTTGGCTGAGCACAGATATTTTATGGCATAATATTTTCTCTCAAACACTAATTTCTGTAATTTAGTGTGTGGAAGAGGCTTTTGATGTCAAAATGAAGTTCTTCTTTTTCTGTTTATTTTATCTCTCGATAGTTGCAGTATTTTTATTCAGTATCTGAATTTCATAAATTTCCTTCATGTAGGGTCAGTGCCTCTTACCATTAACCTTGCATTTGTTTAGTAAGCCTTAAAGATTCAAACAATCTAGGCTTTTTTATTCTGGTCTGAGAAACTATCTTCCATTATGTGCTAATTAATGCTTCACTTTTTTCTGGTTTCTTTTGTTTTCCCCATATCTAGATTGTGTGTGAGTGAATATGTGTATAATTTCCAGTTTTGTCCTGGATTAATTCTGGAGAATTTAATCTTATTTTCTAATGATCTCTTTGTTTTTTTCCTGGATTCAATCTCCTGATTATTGCTGCTTTTTAGATTCCTGTGTGTTTTATCCATAGGTAAATTTTCCTAATATCGGATCATTAAATCTTATAAATGCCTTTCATAGATTCTATGTTATAAGCACATATGAGAGATTTCTAATATCTTATTTTGTAGGTTATTCCCATGTTTATTGGAATACTCTGATTTATAGAGGAATATTTTCTCTGATTTCTCAAATTGGTCTTTTTATTTTCAATTGCTGTATCTTACCTTATATTTAATGATGTTTTGGCTTGCTCACCACAGAGAGAGTTTTAGGCTTATTTCTGAGGGGAGGTGAGAAGGGACTGGTGATGAGATTGTATGGAAAGTTTTTAAGTCTCCCAAGCTCAGACAAAGTGAGAAGGGGTGAATATTGATTTATCCCAGTTTAAACTTGCTGGATCATAGGTATAATAGCCTGGACAGAATAGCATGGGGCCGATGACTAGGGACAGTTTTTGCAGGAAGATTTAATATAGATATCTTTTTTCCCTCTAAGTTATTGTGCCAACTGAAAATTAGTAAACATTCTTTAATTGCTCCCTCTAAGTTGAGGCAATGGCTTCTAGTATGTTTCCCCATTCCAGGGAAAAGTCAAGTGCATGAACTCCCTTAAGGTCCCCACTCTGTGTGCACTTTAACACTTACATTTCCCAGAGCTGCTGTTACCTTTAATATTTATCCTCCCAAACCCTGCCCCAGGGTCCTCTAATCAGCTATACACCCGCTAACCTGTTAAGGATGTTTGCATGGTTCAACCAGCATTTTTCCTTTTATTTGGCAAACTGGTCCTTTTTATTCAGTGAATATCTTTCTCATGTACTACCTTCAGCAGAAGCATGGTGCCCTCCCCTAGTTTTAATACAGGTACACATTGCGCCTTCTTTTTTTAGATTCCTTGGTCAAATGCCTATGTTGCTCAAGCTACCATCTCTACCCAAAAGTCCTATTGCTTACTTTTTGAAGTACATATGTCAGTAGTCTGGTTTGCATATCTTAGACTGGGTGGAAGGTTGGCATTGCTGTTCTGCAACTCACATTCCAAAGATAGTGCTCCCAACTCACCCTTTATTACATGAATAATTAACTGTTGATCCAAACCGGGTATCTGTGTTTATATAAACCATGCCATTGAAGGGTTCTGGAAGTTTTCCACATGATTTTCCTACAGAAAAGAAGCAGAATTCGGGATGAGGTGTACAGTTCAATTTACATTTGTTTTTAAGATTCGGACTGGAGTGCAGCATACTGAACAGCCTGTATACTTCTGATTGTTCTACAGAATTGACCACTTTGAGGAAACTCACCATACAAGTAGCTATAGGGCACCTGCTTTTAAAACAACCAGTGAGCATCACCCAATAAAGGTCATTTGTGGTTTTCCATCCCATCAGCCTAAATCAAAGGCCTTAAATTTGGGATTTTCCTCTTATCTTAGTTAGTTCACTGTGACCCACATAATTTTCTTGTTCCCCTGTTTTATTCATTTCATGGTTTTAGCCACCAAGTGTAACCCCCAGTGAATGGAAAATTTTTCTCCAATTTCCTCTTGTGAGAGCCATTCCTATGAAATGAATATCTAGTCAAGGTGTAGAAATGCAAGGCAATAAGAAGGGATGACTTACAAGTCCACCCTCCATCTAAATACCGTGGGCAAAATTAGATGTCTCACCTTCAAAATTTGAACAAATTAAATCAGATCTCACAGATTCTTTGATATACATAAATTGGCTCCCAGGAAGGGGTTACTCATATCTCTAAATATATTGGCACTTGACGAGACCAAGTTTTCTAAGCAGGTGATAGAGAACATATTTTCAAAATACCCAAGGAAGCATTCATAATTCAAAGATGTCCCAACTGGAAACTCAGACTCATCAGTCAGGATTGTAGGCTTTGTAAATGGAAACTGTTTAGGGGCTTTACAATACTCGAAGACCAAAACCACAGAAATATCAAAGTGAGCAGAGACACTTCCACCCTATCTCCTCTTTCTCTCCAACTGAGCTGATAGATGGGATCACAGAAACAGAGACATAATAATGGCAAAAGAGTTTCTTCCCCTAAGGTAACCCCTGAAGTTACCTTAGGATGGTGCTTTACAATAGCATCTACCCATCAGGAAATTTTTACTGCTTGGAAGACTATTCACCTTTCTGGCCTTTCTGTTCAAAGCAAGAGTTTTAGTCAATAGTTTCACATGCCAGGCCTTCTATCAGGGTGCCTTTATCTAGAGTTAAGTTAACCATTACATCCTCATTTACTGGTGTTAACATACTCATGTATATTAAGACATATTTACTGTCTCTTTTCACTTATTCCTCCCTACCTCAGTCTCAGGATGCCTACCATAAGCTGCTTCTCTGGTACTAAATAGTAGTCACCACTTGTAGTGGGTGAATGACGTCCCCCGCAAAGATACAACCATCTAAAACATTAGAATGGGAACTCATTTGGAATAAGGGTCATTTCAGATACAATTAATGTAATGATCTTGAGATGAAATTATCCTGGGTTACCAGAGTGAACCCTAATCCAGTGACTGCTGATGTCCTTTTATTTTTTTGCTTTTATTTTGTTTTATTGGAGGATAATTGCTTTACAATGTTGTGTTAGTTTCTGATGTACAACAAAATGAATCAGCTATATGTATACATATATCCCCTTCCTCTTGCACCTCCCTCCCAACCCCCATCCCACCCATCTAGAGCATCACAGAGCACCTCTTCCCACCTCATCACAGAGCACCAAGCTGAACTCCCTGTGCTTTTAAGAGAGAGGAAGTGGAGATTTGAGACACAGAGATATTGGAGAGAAGGCCACGTGAAGACAGAGGCAGGGATTTAAGTGATGTGTCCACAAGCCAAGTAATGCTAGGAGCCACCAGAAGCTGCAAGAAGGATCCTCCTTTTAGAGCCATAGGAGAGAGTGCAGCCCTGACAACACCTTGATTTCAGACTTCCAGCCCCTAGACCAAGATCAAGGAAAGGTTAAGTGCCTCTCATCGTGTGTAGCCTTTTCTCACTGGATTGCTCTTTTATCTCAGGGCTCGCCTGCCAATGATGCGGTATTCCAAGGTTGGTGCCACACCCCCACTGTATCCCAGTTTCCATTCTTCTCTTCCCCCACTCTCTTCACCACTCCACCAGCAAGTAGAATGATTAGCATCTTATCTAGTTAAACATCTTGGCACTGCTGGAAATATCTGTTTTAGCTATGGCATGTAATTTCGACACTTCCACTTATGACAAAGTTAAACTCACAAGAAAACACCATATCGCATTATAGAAATATAAAGGATGTGGTCCAGGTGTTCTGAACCCATTTAGGGTATATAGGGGTGGGCAGTGACCAACAGGACCAGAAAGTTCACAGTGAGGGTCAGGGATGCTCCAAACCTCATTCCCTTGACTGTCACTTGTGCAGTGGATGGTGCTCTCCCTAAAGAGATTGAAAGTCATCCCTCTATCTGGGTGGGGGTCACATGTGCAAGATATTTCTTTTCCACAGGAAATGCCTCCCAGAGAAGTTCTTGTGTGGTTCCCATTAAGGATAGCCAGCGGATTTGGACAAAAGATTTCTAAAAGAGCTAAAAGTTACATTAAAATGCTTAAATTTTCATCTGGGTCGATTCCACAATTGTGGGATTCTGTGACTGTGTTGCCAGTTCAACAACAATTAAACTCTTAAGGAGAGTACAAACTACAATATAAATATATTAGGACACTGCTGAGATGCAGCTAAATGAAGTTACATCAAAATCAATTTTTATTATAAAAGTCTAAAAGGGACTTAAGTATCCTGAACTCTTCAGTGAGTTAAGCCTTCTGGATAATTGAGGCTTAAATAAACAAAAATCTTCTTAACCACATCCATTTAACAAGGAAATTATCCATTATTTCACCAAGGTTTTTTTTTCTTTTTTTTGAGCACCTACTATACAGCAAGTACTATTTTAAGCACAAAATAGGTGAGATCTTTTAACATCAAGGATCTTCATCCTAGAGAATTTTTTCCGAATATATTCCAAATATATACATTTACTATTTGTCTATCCATGATTTAATCTTCTCTTGATACCTTGAGGCTGTTATTCTCAAAGGCAAAATGAATGGTTACAGAAATGCTGCCACAGTGAAATGAAACATCTCCATACTCCAGTGCATGCTTCAAAGGCTCAGAAATGTTTTGACTTTTGAGATACTTATAGGTTTTACAGTTTGTTTTTATCATTGAAGAAACACACATTTCTTCTTTTGAGCGTTATGTATTTAGAGATGCTCCTTTCCCCTTCTGGTCTGATCTGTATTTAGGAAGAGGATACTGCAGCTTGAAAGAATTATGGATAAACTAACTATTCGAAGGGTGGAATAGCTTAACCAATGTTTACACTCTAGTAAGTGATTTTAGGTATATCCTTGAGTTCATGGGAGTAATTTTCTTCCTTCCTTTCTTCCTTCCTTCCTTTCTTTCTTTCTTTCTTTCTTTCTTTCTTTCTTTCTTTCTTTCTTTCTTTCTTTCTTTCTTTCATTTTCTTTCTTTCTTTCTTTCTTTCGTGTTTCTTAATTACATTAAGATTTTCAAATAGCTGACTTTCAAACATGAAAGATGTAACTATGGCTTCACTATATAAATCAGTACAATATGTTCAAATAATATTAAAGCAAAGTATTCATTTGAAAAAATAAATATATATCTTTCAGTCATTACAATCAGAAGATGAAGCAACATCCTGGTGATTTAGTGAAGAAATAAATGTACAGATTGGATATATTAGTAGTGTTTCTCTATTTAACAGGTTACATTTCTGTCATGAAAAAAGAAAAAGCTCCCTAATCCCACTTCCCTTCGCAGCTGTAGTCCCTTTTCTCTACCCCCTTTACATTAGAAGTCCTCTAAGATGTTGTCTATGGTCTGTCCTTCCTCCCCTTCATTATCCCTTGAACTCATTCCAATCGGGCATTTGCCCCCACAACTCTACTGAACTGCTTTTATCGAGGTCATTCATTACCTCCAAGTCGCTAAACCCAATGATAATTTTCTGTCCTCATATTATTTGACCTCTCTGAAGAATATAATGCAGTTTCTGGGACTCATCTCCTTAAACAAAGTTCTCCACTTGTCTTCCAAGATACCTCATCCTCCTGATTTTTCTCTCAACACACTGGCTGCTTCTTCTTAATCTCCTTTTCCAATTCCTTCTAATCTTTCCAACATCTTAATGTTGAATTTACAAGGCTCAGACCATGCATCTATTCTCTGGCCCCATTCACTCTCTGGGTGATCTCACTTAATCTCTATTTTAAACTCTATATCTAAACCATCAGCAAATCCTGTCATTTCTACCTTCAGAATATATCCAGAATTTGAATACTGCTTATCACTTCTCTCAGTGTTATCCTGGGCCAACATCTCTGGTTTGATTTTTGCAATAGCCTCCCAGCTTGTATCCTCAGCTCTACCCTCAGATTTTCTTGGCTACAGGTATCTTTTGGGCCTTCAGTTGCTTTCTCAATTGAGAGTGCTGATACCACTGCTACCTCATTTCCTGACAACACTGGCTGTGTCAGCACCCCCAAGGGTGAGATGGGCTTCTGCACAGCCTCTGCTGTACCACTGCAGTGGAGGTCACAGTAGTTCTAAATCGAAGCCAACATGACTGGATCCATGTCCACTCTGGCTCCTTCTATCACTTCCTGGCTTAGGTGGAGTACCAGGCAACAGATCATGGGCTCTAGTGTCCCCAGAGTCTGATCAGGGAGAGAAATAATACAACATGAAATCCAAGGACTTAATAGCCTTGGAATAAACAGAAGATGAGAGACAGGAAAGACCGAGCAGATAAGTTGCTTGTTCTTTCTCTTCTAATGGTCAGTTCTGGTTCCACAGAATCTCTCTGGAGATGTCCTATACGGCCAAACAACCAGCCGTCTTTCTTGTGAAGCTTATGGCCACTTCAATAACACAATCTCTTTTATTTATCTGCTTTTCTTTCCTCTCCACCTCCCTTTTTGTTTTCCTTCACCTTTGCTGCCCTGGGACTATACCCTCCAGTAGAGCATTATAACTCAAACTTTGTCTCTGGCACTGTTTTTTGGGGAATCTCAATCTAAGATACATCCTTTCAACTCAGCTCTCTCTAGAGTAGCCAGAGTGAAATCATTAAAAGTAAGTTAGTGGGGCTTCCCTGGTGGCGCAGTGGTTGAGAGTCCGTCTGCCGATGCAGGGGACACAGGTTCGTGCCCCGGTCTGGGAAGATCCCACATGCTGTGGAGCAGCTGGGCCCGTGAGCCATGGCCACTGAGCCTGCGCGTCCGGAGCCTGTGCTCTGCAACGGGAGAGGCCACAACAGCGAGAGGCCCGTGTACCACAAAAAAAAAAAAAGTTAGATCATGTTACTTTTCTACTCATAATACTCCAATGGCTTTTCATCTTGCTTAGAGTGAAAACCTAAATTCTTACAGAGTATAGAGTTATTCTCTTTTATTGCTCCTGTATACTTCTGTATTTGCTCCCTGAACATCAGCCATGTTGACTTCTGAGAAATGTCAGGAGCAGGCTTTTCAAAGAAAATGCCAGGAACACTTTTGCCTTGGACCTTTGTAGTTTCTGCTCCATCTGCATGGAAAGTTCTTCCTCTATCTTTGCACATTGGTAATCAATCAATTTTCATCAATGCTCAAATGTTATTTTCTCTTTTTCTTCCTTAATCATTTTATTTTAAATGGAAACAATTTTTTTCTGGAATTCCTTTTTCCCATTTACACAACTATTTTTTGCATTACCCTGTTCTTTTCTTAATAACACTTAGTATTATTTGAAATTGTCTATTTATGTGTTTGCTTGTTTACTTCTTATATATATATATATTTTTTTTGCTTTTCTCCCTGCACAAGAATATAAACAACATTGGAGCAGGGACCTAGTCTGTCTTGTTTACAGGCATATTCCTAGTATCTAGAAGACTGGTTGGCACATAGTAGTTACTCAAAAAAAAATCTGTTGAAAGAATGTGTATATGATGGATTGATGATTGAAGAAAGGATAAAAAAAAGCTGAAGTGTGACTATCATTTTTGAGAAGGAAAAAGGGAACATTTGACAAAGCTTCAGGCCATAAATTTCTCTCCATCTGTGAAGCATTTCTTCCCATTTATAGCACATAGTACGTTTATAAATATTTATAGAATGACACACAAAGCCCATGATGTTCAGGTTTATTTCCCCAAAAAAACATTCTTTGTAACTATTTCAACAATAAATATTTGTATCAAAAACAAAGTAAACAGAGGGACAGACATTAGATAATTTCATGTGGTAAAATGCAACAAGAAAATGAAAAAAACAAGGAGAAAGATGCAGACCTGAACAGATATTCTTTTTACTTACGTTCACACACAGGAACACTGTTATTCCAAAGGCTTTTCGTTCCAACCAAGATACAGTAACTGGCTGAGCTTCCCTTTAACTGGAACCTAAGGAACAAAAAGCAGTAGTGACTGGATGAGCACACCATCTCTCTCTTCCATCCATTGACAGATCTCAGCTACTTCCCTTCTGCTAAAACACAATTTAATGCCTAAGTTAAATCCCAAATGAAAGAAAAAGCTCAGCCCATTTTGTTTCTCAGCTGATAGAGGCTCAGAAACCAAAACATTTTAAAAAATTGCTGCTTCCAATGAGGACAAAGCAATGACACCTGTCAAAGCTCAGTAATCAGACTCGCCTGAACTAAAGAAGGTACAAAAAACATAGACAGGCATTTCCTTAGTCTGGTCCTGGACCTTCAGGAGACCATCTTACCCTGACTGCTCTCTGACAAGCCCCCTTTTGTCATTAGGAGAAACTTTGTCCTCTAATGCAAAGCGTGGCATTTTCCTCTTTTAGTAGACCAGGAGGAAAACAACTCCTGATTTAAGCAAATCAGAGAACATGAGGAAAGATATCAGAGACTGTTCCTTTTGCCAATACATTTGGAATGTTCCTGAATGAGACTTCTGGCATATCTGGATTACTGAAGAGTAAAGCCAAATTATCTAGGAATAATAAGAAACGGTGAGGAGACAGGATTCCTTGGAGTACAATCATCCTAAAACATCTGGTTTATTGTCAGACCAGTGGCTCCTGAATTGCCTCTGGGTCTTTATTGGGTGACTGGTAATTGATGCTTGTCAAGAGTCCTTGGAATATACTGAGAACAACTGCTCTATTGTCCATGCTTTTTATCTGCCAATGGTGTTGGAACATAATATCAAGATCATTTAGATTCACACGAAGAGTTAATGATGTTACTTGAAATATGAACAGCAGGCTTCATGCTCTTTCAACACAGCCTAATACTAATTAGATGATATGTAATTATTACAGATTAAAAATACTTCTGCTTACTCTTTTGTTCCTATTCCAAATGCCACTAATGATTGGTTTAAAAATTTCCTGACACAATCCTTGCATGTCATCTGTCTTATAAATAACTTTCTTTTGTATATATCGAACTTAACCTCTGGAATATTTATCTCTTCATGCCTACAAATTACTATTTATCCATTTTATCCAAACACTTAATGTTTCACCTAAATATTCAAGTTCTGTTGTTATGTTTCTGCTGTTCAGTATATTTACCACTTTTCCTTTTTAAGCATCTGTTCATGGTCCATCTGGTTCTTACCATACGTCCCAATCACTGTTTGAGATATTAGTCTCTTTTAGTACTTTTTCTCCATTAGTCAGCCTCCTTTTTGGATAAAACCCATTGCCCAGGACATCAGCATATCAGCATCTGGCAGTGTGGCCCTGGTCTCTTTTCCAGTTCACACTCACCCCTCATCACAAATGAAGGACACTTTTGCCCCAAGGTGGAAATTAAGTGGAAAGAGCACATGTCCATTAGGAAGTTGGTCCAGGAAGGCAGCACATGATTTCACTAGGGAAAAAAAAAAACAAGAGTAAGACTGCCATGTAAGGGACAAAGAGATTGATCTGCAAACCAGAAGAGAGTATAGGCACCTGCACATCTGGGAGCTTCTGGGCTCCAGTCTCCCTGGGGCGTACAGTGCAGAGAAGCAGCCCCTCTGAGATCATAGCCGGGCTCACAGCTGTAGAACACTTCCTGCCCAGAGGAAAAGTTGTTCTTGTGGCTTGGAGTGTGTTTACCATGCAGGACTTCTGGAGGTGGCTGACATACTGGGTAAAGAACAGTAAAGTACCTGTCAGTTACAGTTAGAGAATCATAATTAAGGGGGTACAGGTATAACAAAGGAAGTCAAATGATACTCCAATCCCCTTGTTTTACTAATGTGGAAGTTAAGGATAGGGAAGAGATGTAGCCCAAAACCTCACAGCTAGTACGAGGTAGAGAATTAGAACCCAGTCCTTCCCAGCACAAGTTCTAAAATACATTCATTAGTCCACCAGGCATGCTGTCTCTTCTTCCACTGCTGGCTCTCTAGAATAGAGTCACTAGTACTGGTGGGCTACCCAACTCACATATTTGCTAGAAAGGCAATACAATTTACAGCCTCATCTTTCAGGTAATGAGAAGGTTACCTGAGCCTAAACCTGTAACAGATTTCCCCTTATCTCTTTTTTTCACACTTCTATGATCAAAGTGTAGTAACTACCCATACTGTATCTGTTTGTCCTCCCAGCTGCCCTCTCATTGGTTGTACAAGGCTGATATGGGTTGGTGGAAAAACTGTAAGCTCCCTCTCTGTCCCTAGTATCAACCACAATATTTACCAATCCACTTCTACAGTCCTTCTTATGCCAGCTATTGTGGCATAAGAAGACAAGACCACCATTGAGAACAAAATCCCCTAAATAAGCCAGTCCTTGTAATGACAGGACACATTTCTTAGAGAATATTCAACTCAAGGTGTGGCTGCCTCCATTCACAGTACTTTTGGTATGTGCTAGGTGCATTAGAACTCATTTGAACTTCAACTTAACCTGTATCTAATTAAAGATGAATGAAAAATCTGTTTGGCTTTGAGCAAGTTACTTGCACTTTCAATTTCAGATTTCTAATGATAAAATGTAGGAGGTGGACGAAAACAAACTCTAAAGTCTTTGTCACTATTCTGAGGCTATGATATCTTTCTTCATAAGCCAGTTTCTTTCTGTGATAGATGCCGATAAAAGTAGAATTCTGTAAAGCAAAGTTCTGTCAAGAACCAGAGCATTCAACTTTAGGGGCTGACACACTGCATTCTATTCCTGGATATGCCACTTAGTAGCACATAATTTAGACAACTTATTTAACCTCTGAAAGACCAAGCTAACTTCACTGACCTATGGATATAAGGATAGCACTATTTCAAAGGAGTGTTGCAAAGAGTAAACAAGATTATTATACAGCTGGCCAGAAAGTCCACATCATTCTTGAATACAACTGAGAGATATTGGAGCTGGTACTTTGCCTTCAGAATTCCTCAATATGAGAGTCCCAAATGTCTCCTTCCTTGAATAATTAAACTCTTGCTTCTCAAAATGAAGGCACTTACACACAAATGCAAACACACATTTTCTTAATTTTGTGCTTCCTTGCCCCAAATTTACTCACACTGCTCACCACACATCCTCCCCCGAGAACTGACACTAACCTCCTGATCCTCCTAAAACTCACATCATTTGTAGACCCCTTCAAAGCCTCAGTCAGACTCACCCCTGGAGCAGCTGGGCAACTCCGGCCCCCACTTGTTTTGGGCTTGGCATTCAACAGTGGAGGGTCCTTTCATGGCAAAGCCGGGCTGACACCTAAACCTCACGCTTTCACGTAAAGAAAATAAGCTTTTGTTCTCAGACATCCTTATTCCATTTTCAATGACTGGAGGCGTGCATTTATTAGGTGCAATGCACTGAGGGGGAGGGCCACTCCAGATGCCAACTTGATTGTCTTCACTGGTGCAATATATTGACGGCTCGCCCACGAGGTCAAACAGCTCCTGCCTTCTCTCTCCAAGATTGCAGTGGTAGGTCACCACTGTTCCGTATTGAAAGTATTCTCTGTTGGTGCTAATGAAATTTCCATTGGCGATGGCTGGGGGTGTCCCACAACGAATGCCTGGGAAAAGGGACAGCAAGATAAAACCTCAGTTTCTTAAAGTTATATTCAATTATGAATTTTGGTAACCAGTTTAAAAAATGATCAAAATGTCACTATTCAGAACACCTCTGCTCTTGTCTAATATTTGTTAATGTACAGACATGTCTTTACACAATCGCAGATTAGATAGCCACAATATTATGACCTCTGCTCTTCTCAATTAATGCTATTTCAATAAATGTATCCATATATTATTATAGTCCACATACTTCTCATTTTAAGTGAGAATTTATATGTTATTTAACTATTTTTAATTCAATTCTTTCTCTGTAGAGGGCATTTGGATTTATTCTATTGGTTATTAATATGGTATAGCATACAATATAGTCTTATCAAATAAATAAAAACCAAAAGCTCTGGTACAACTAATAAAAAATAAACACAAACACACAATATTACACACGACAAACATAACAATCACAGATTCAGAAGTAATAAAAATAACTGAATATCTATCTACTCTATGCTAATAATCTTGAAAATGAGGATGTTAGAAACAAAAATATATTTTGCCAATATTGATTCAAGAAAAGGTAGCATATAGAAGAAGTGGAAAAAAATATCAAAAACACTACTGCTAAAAAGGTATGAAGCACAGATAATTTTATTGACAAATTTAATCTAATATTCAAGTAACAGATAATTTCTAGGCAGTTTAAATCACTCCTGAGCATATAAAATATCAAAGTAGATACTTTTATTTATTTATTTATTTTTAAATAAATCAAAGTAGATACTTTGATATCTAAGTAGATACTTTTATTTATTTATTTATTTATTTATTTTTGCTTAAGAAAATATTTAAGAAGATGCATATTTATTGTAGAAAATTTATAAAATATAAATAAAAATCACCTTTAAGCCAATTATCTAGAAGGAATCACTATTAACTAATGTGCAATCTTTAATACACACACACACACACACACACACACACATATTTTTCTTCTAAAATATCTTTGTTGCCTAAGTAATATTTCAGAGTACAAACATACTAACTGATTCCATTTGAAAGTGTTCTCTCTCTTGTCAAATGCATTCCGGCATATTTTAAACTTTTTTTTATTAGAACACATTCCGTGTACCTTTATAAGATTATTATTTTGTAGATTATTTCCAGAACATTGTTTGGAAATATGCACAATATTTAGATTCTTTTGACTTTTTCACTATCATAAAATAATAATATAGGTAACATCTGTACATCAATCCTCGCAAAAACCCACGGTGATTTTTTAAAGTCATGAACTGTAGAATTTCTGGATTAAAGGCTTGCGTACAGTTAAGGTTTTTGATACATACTGTGTACTGGCCTGTTAGAAAATTCATTACCACTTATCCTACTATCAGTTGAGTTGGAGAGTGTTGATTTCTTTTTTTTTTTTTAAACATCTTTATTGGAGTATAATTGCTTTACATTGTTGTGTTGGTTGCTGCTGTATAACAAAGTGAATCAGCTCTACGTATACATATATCCCCATATCCCCTCCCTCTTGCGTCTCCCTCCAACCCTCCCTATCCCACCCCTCTAGCTGGTCACAAAGCACTGAGCTGATTTTTTTACATTATCACCAAACCCAGGGTTATATCTTTATGTTCTTTGTTCATTTGCAACTGCTCCTTTCTCTATGTGCCCTGAAGTGTAGAAAGTTCATATTCCAAACAACTCATGGGAAAGATGGCATGTCACTGTCCAGACAAAGAATAAGAGAGCAGGGAGGGCCCACGGCTTGAACAGATGACCTGGGATTAAGAGTTGACAGAGAGGAAGGAAGGCACTTTCACTAACCTTGTATTCATTTACTTCACTAAAGAGAACAATCTTCAACCTGGAAGGTGTTCAACCAACAAAAGAAGAATTTGGGTGCTCTTCTAAATGAGTTCCAAACTATTGTTTAAAATAAATTATACCCTAGGATAAGGAAAAATCAGGAGGAACTAGAAGCTTTGGACATTGTGAGCACCTTTAAGGGTAGGAGTGTTTTCTTCAAATATCAGAAGGATACTATTGCCAAAAGGGATGAAATTTATCCTTTGTAATTCTAGGGGCCAACTGTAGGATTGAGCATGGAATAAATGGGGCTAGAGATTTCAACTCACGTTCACAAATTGGTGGCTCTGAATCCCAAAAGACAGTACTGCCTGAGATAATACATTCAGCAGCTGAGTGACCAATGAGTTGATACCTGAAACCAAAAATGAAAAATAGGCATGCTGTATACACATCCCATCAATTTCCTCAGCATGCATACATGCATGGCAAATCTGAAAGGCTACAATCTGAAAGAAGTTCAAGGACTAGCCTAAACTCCACCTATTTTATCTGACTTTTCTTATTTCTCTTTTTCTATCCTCTCACTGTTGAAAGGAATATTTCCTCTCTAACTCCTCATGGCTCGCTCTGCTTCTTCATTTCTTGGTTTCATTTTGGATTGTACCCAGTACCTAAATAAAACAATAGTTTTGTAGAACTGTCTGATAATTTTCTTCTTAAAATCTGTTTTTTCTTATATTATTATTGTTACTTAATTTTCTTTTTGCATTTTCCTGATATACATAAATATACATATTGTATATTAACACTGCTACGTCATTTTAGTTTAGGCATGTTTCTTGTACATACAACAAGATTTGTGATGCTTTTGATCCTATTTGGAAACTTTTGTTTCTCAACAGGGATATTAAACCATTCAAATTTACTGAACTAAATGGTATGGTTGATCTTGCTTTTGTCATCACTTCATAATGTTCCTTCATAATGTTCAGTGGTAAGCACATAGCAGTGAATACAGCTGATCTGCCCCAAATATAAGGGGGCTTATTTCTGGTGAATGAGATGGATATAGTCCATGATATTCCTTTTTCTTCCCTCTCATTTGCTACATGAAACATATAGGTGAACCTCTTTTAGTTGCTCTAATAATTTGGAAGCTAAATAACTGATTTTTGTTCCTTCGAAATTTCATTTCATGCGTTATGTATTGGGTTGGCCAAAAAGTTCGTTCAGGTTTTTCCGCTACATCCTCTGGAAAAACCTAAGCGAACTTTTTGGCCAACCCAATACATACACAACACAGGTATTCAACCCTATTTTCTCAGTTTTGGTGTCAAAATATATACAGTCTACCCATCTCCTATGTACTAAATGTCTAGACTATGTTTTTCTTTTTGCTTTCTTCTCTTTTCTAGTTTTACGGATATATTTTATGACTTCAGAAATTGTTATTAGATTATGATTACATTCTCAAGTTTCACTTTTTAACAATTAGTTCTGTCATTGTATTAAGTTTTATAACTTTGTTGAAAATATTTGAACTTTTTAAAAAATTTGTTTTTCTTTTGTTTGATTTTTGGCAATTTTCTACCTCACCAGTATTTATCATTATCCTTTAAGAAAATACTTATGGATTGCCTGAGTTTATCTTTTTCCTTCTCCCGGGAAGTATACTTCCTGTAAAGTACACAGGTGTGATTTTTAGGTCCTTGCTTATCCTTTACTGTACATCTGTAGCCATCTGTAGATGTGAATACTAGCTTAGCTCATTAGAAACTCCATCTTCTGCAATTTAGTGATGTGAAGGATCAATGTGATATCAATACAAATTAATTTCTTGCACAGCTATTATAGTTTATTAATTTCCTTTCTGCATTCTTGAGGTTTTTTTCATGATCCATGAAATACAGATGATTCCCTAGTGATGGCTAAATATGGGCTTATTGTTTTCCCTTCTGGAATTTTTGTTACATGTAATTTGAATCCCAGTGCTCTTATAGACATATCTTCTCTTTTCTCTTCTTCTTCATCCTTTCCCACTTAATTCTGGGAGAATTTAATTTATCTTCTTACCCTCTGCTTTAACTTTCTACAATATTCAGTGTGTTTATCACAGAATTTTTCTTTAGTTTGACAATTGTGTTTTTCATTCATATGCAAACATTCTCTATTTCCTAACTAGGTTCACAGAAACAGCGTGCAACTGAATCTTGTTAAAAACGTAAACAGGAGATTTTTCTAGAAGTTTCTCTTATTTCTTGGAAGTAACTCTATTTTGTAAGAGGACATTTCTTCTGATTTTTCAGATTGCTCTTTTTACATTAATTTCCTGTAACATATCATAAGCTCAACGGTTTTCTATTTAATGCCATTGAGAGGTTCACTCTTATTCCGTAATACAATATAAAGAGGGTATAGACAGAGAATTTATAGATTCTACTTAAAAATGCTCGGAGAAAGACAGAGTGTTTAGATTTACTCTAATTTCACTTTGTCAGATTATAGGTACTATGATCTGTAAGGCCTTGGTTAGCAAATATGCTGAAGCCTACAAGTTCCTTTTCAGTGTTTATCATGGCAGTGCAAATTTAGCCCATATTCTCTAACTGGTTCAGCTGCTCCCACTGGGAGTGAGGTTGAGACTGAGAAAGGGTAAGCACCCTTGTGGGTGGGACTGCCGCCCAGTAAACACTTTATGTCTGACATTTTCACAGGGGACTCTGTTATGGGTTGAACAGTGTACCCCAAAAAGTATGTCGAAGCCCTAGCCCCCAATCTCCATGAATGCGACCTTATTCGGAAATAGGGCCTTTGCAGATATAATCATGTTAAGATGAGGTCATTAGGGTGGGCCCTAATCCAATATGACTGGAGTCCTTAAAAAAGAGAGAACTTTGGACATAGACCCACACAGAGAGGAGAGTGCCATGTGAAGACACAGACACAGAATGAAGATGGCTATGGGAAGACAGAGGCAAAAACGGGAGTGATGCGCCACACGCCAAGGAAGCCCTGAGGTTACCATAACCTGGAAGAGGCAAGGAGGGATCGTCCCTCAGAGGCTTTGGAGGGAACATGTCCTGCTGGCACCTTGATTTTGGACCTGTAACCTCCAGAACCTTGAGAGAATAAATTTTTGTTGCTGTTCTGAGATACCCAGTTTGTCCTACTTCTTATGGCAGCCCTAGCAAATGAATAGTGCAGTTACCTTACAAGATCTGCTTTCTACACAGTGGCTCCGTGGCCTTCCCCTTCTTTCAGCAAAGTCTGCTCTGGGCAAGTGCTGTTTGTACGGTTTGACTATGCCCTCCCCCCATTTTCTTCCTTTCTACCTGGTGAATACCTCACTTTTCTTGTATGTACTGCCCTGGGTTCCAGCAAGGAGACAGATTTCCCCTCAAATCTTATCATACCTTTGTCCATTTCAATTAGCAGTTAAACACCTATGTTCAAGCTTCTTGAGAACAGATGGTAATAGCCTAGTCCTCTTTTCCAAGATATGACCAGAAGGTAGTATCGCTGTCCTGGAACTCTTGAACCAAGAGATGGTCCTGCCCACTCACCCTCTATTACAAGAAAAATTGATTCTGGATCCGAACTGGGTGTCTGTATCTATGTGCACCACACCATTCACAGGATCTGGAGGAGTATTACATGATTTACCTTGGGAAAGAAAGAGAATTTTGGAGCCAGGAAGAGTAATTTAAACTTTTGTTAGTGTATAACAAGTCAGTCCCCACCTGACTGTAGTTTTCTGAAGAGTATATGCAATTCTGATGGGTCTACAGATTTTGCCACCTTGAGGAACCTCACCAGACTGCCTCAGGATCAGCCACCCACTAAGCACCACTTTCAAAGAGACCTCCCCTCTAAATCTCACCTATCTTTGCCTCAAATCTCTTATCTAAATAGAAAGGTCATTAGTGGCCTTATATCCCACCAGTATAAAAGTTTTTATTACCTGGTTATTCAAACAGTTTATGTCTCCTTACACATTTTTTTCCTGATCTGGAGTAATTCATTATTCACTACCCCATAAAAAAAATGGAGTTCTCCTGCAAATATTCCTTGAAACATTCTCAGGAGACAAGCATTTCAACCAATAATTAGGGGTGACCTACAAGACCAACTATTACCTCCACCTATGTGAACATGTTTGACAAAGTTTTCTTATCTCTAAAATTTGGAGAAATTAAATAAGATCCTATAGATACTTTGACAAACATAGGAACGCTCCAATGCAGGGCTTACTCACGTTTACAGACATCTTTGGCACTTGACCACCTGAGGTTTTGTAGACACGTGATAGAGAATGACTTCCTGTGGTACTCAGGGCGGCATTCATACTTTAAAGATGTCCCAATGGGAAACTCAGATTCATTGGTCTGGATTTTCAACTTGGCAAATTGAAAATGATCTGGGGTGTTACAGTGACCTAGAGACCAAAAAATCAAGAACATCAGAGTTAACAAAGATACCCAGTGCCATTCTTCCTTTTCTCTTTCTTGTTAGATTTGATATCAGAACAAAAGAAACTTTAAGTTGTGGAAAGATAATTTCCTTGTAATCTTTGAAGGGAAAGTTCCATTAGCATGCGCCCATTAGAAAATATACTATCCGGAAGGCTATTTTGCTATCTGGGCATTTTACTCATATCATTTACTGTAAAAGACAGCTCCAATTCAATTTTTCACATTTTTAGGGAGACAGAGGAGTGTTTCTGCCCAGGTTATACCTAGTCTGGTTTCTTTGTACTTCAGTGCATCAAAACCCATGCTTACAAGCAAGAATGGAGAACTCAAGATGTTTTTTGAAACTAGGAAGCAGCCACCAACTTTCTAGGTCTGATTCCTAAGCTGGCCATTTCAACACAACAAGGAAATAAACAGCATCTCTTCAAAATAAAAACAACAACAACAAAAAAAAACAGAAACATTGTGTGAACTATATGTTGAATCAAATTCTAGCTTTAGCTCCAAGCCCCTACACCTAAAGCTCTAGGTTTGAGAAGTGAAAACTCACTTTGGATTCAAGTAGTATGAAATCAAAAAAGTGTATATGTTTGGAAAAATAGCAATCGTTTCCACTTGGTTTTGACAATAAATTCTCTTTTAGTTTCTATTCCAGCTGTCCTCCACCTCCCTTTCAATTATTTTTTCAAATAGTAAAAGCTATGCTAGAGCCAATTCTGCACCCAGATAATTCTCTGTATGAAGACTTGCAAGCCAATTTCTCATTTCTTTAACATATAATTAAGTGATTTTTCTCAATATGAAAATTTGGCTGATTTTCAAGGTGGCTTCACAGGAAGTACATCCATCTATATTGCCTGTTTCTTTTTATTTTAGAGCTTGAATATTAGCTATACTAGCTTCTAGTTCAAGGAGTCCCCCTTATGACTAAAGTCTACTACCTAAGGCCAAATCACACATGAAGATGGTCTGGCTGGTCTCCAGTCTAAAAAATCTTGCTGATAAAACTAGGACTGCCATCTCAGCATGGGGTACTGTTGAAAAAAGTCATAGAACTTAGGGGAAGATTGCCTTTCACTGCCGATTCACTGAATCTGAACTAGGTCTCTGTGTTTGTAAACAGGCTCATAGGGACACCCCAAGATGAAGCCATGGTGTTACAGGAGAGTGAGGGCAAAAATGACTTCTGAATATCCGTTCTTGGTCCCTTTCCTTTCAGAACTGCTCTTTTATTTCAGAGTTCCTCAGCAGTCCGTATGTTATGCCGGGACTAGGGTCGCTTCGACAATTTACTTTCCCCTTCCGTCTTCACTTCCTGAGGGTGGGTGTCATAGTGGTATTGGTTACGTTAGGATACCTCCTCCAGACCTTAGAAATAAACACTCTATTTTGCATTTTTCCCTTGAGTTCACATTGCTTTGCTTTTTCTTTCCACCAAAGAGAGAAAACTTCAACAGCTGAAATTAGTGCAGGGCTAAGGAGCAAGAAAGCCTTATCTTAACTTAGAACTTAGCCCATACTGGCTAAAAGAATCTTTGTGTTTTGTTTACAATGCAGCCCAGTTTTCAGAGAGAACACACAGTGGTCTCTGGACAAAGAGGTAATTAAAAGCGATTTTGTCAGGCTTTGTTCTCTGCTGGTCTGTGCTTCTCTCCAAAACCTGTGACGATGGTACAACTTGTGCTAGTTAAGGTTCATAGGTATTTGCTTTCAGTTCCTATGCTTTGAAAACATTTTCCTTCTAATTCTAATTAGAACTAGAACCACCACCCACTTCTTCCATCTCTTTTCACCAGCCCTCTAGAAGCAAAGATCATCAGAATCTTACATGTTGATGTATCTTAAAACCATTTATTATTGATTTGGCATTTAATTGTATCGAGTGCACAAATAAACACCACATTGTAATTACGGAAACTTGGAGAGTCTGGTTTAGATATTCTGAATCCATTTGAAATGTGGGGTAGTGCGCACTAACCCGGAAGTCCACAGCGAGGGGCAGGGCTGCTCCAAATTCCGTTCCCTTGACTGTCACTGGTACAGCGGATGGTGCTCTCCCCAGTGAGGCTGAAGTTCATCCCTCTCTCTGGGTGTGGGTCACATGTGTAAGTGACTTCTTTTCCAAAAGGAAAGACTTCCAGAGGTTTTCCTGTGTGTCTCCCATTAAGGATATCAGGAGGATTTGGACACAAGATTTCTGGAAAGAAGGCAAAAGCTCTAAGTTTCATTCATGAATTTTCACCAGAGGTAATCTATAGTCATTGGGTGTTATGGTTGGTACTACCTAAAAACACCGAATGGACTAAGTGAAGTGAGATTTCAATCCCATTTTTTTAAATTGAAAAAGTACAAAAGAATTTGCCTATCCTGAATCTTCCAGACTTTTAAGTTTTCTGGATGATAGAAACTTTACACCTTTAATTACGTACCAAAACTTTTAAAGAAGAAAAAGAATCTATTGGAGAGTAACTCATTCATTTAATCGACACATTGGGCACTTATTCTGTATCAGCCACTCTTCAGGGCCGGCTGGATGAAATGGTGAAGAGCACAGATAAACTCTCTGTTCTCCAGGGAACTTACATTCTCAGGAAATATTTCTACAATGTATTCCATATGTACTAATCACCTAATCATATGAAACCTTTCCTTAATAACTTACCCATAGTGACCATCAATTGATTACGACAGTAGTGCTGTCACAATGAATTGAAACATATATGGTTCACTGTAAAAACTCTAAATGATCCATACTGTTTTGTTATTGTTTTTTTGATGCATGGGATTGCTTATTATTATCCTTATTTCTCTACTTTCCGTCAGGTTTCAAATTGTTACTTCTTTCTGGTATCTGCTTGTCTGTTTAAACAGTCCTTTCCTTACTTCTATTTAGTGTTTCTTATTAGTCTTGGGATTTGGAAGAAGCTACTTAAATTAGAAAGAGTCATGAAAAATAAGAGAAATAGTACAATCGATAACTGAGCTCTAACCTAGGCCAGTGGACAGCCATTTGTCATGTTACTTCAATGAAAGTTGGGTTTCTTGGATGACAGGATCTATACAGAAGTTATTTTTTTAATAAAGTTTTACCATAAAATGCATCATAGGATAACTGAGCAGGTTTCTTACAACATAAACATTTTAGTAAAATTTGAATTATTTTAAAATTTATATATTTTCCAATCTTTAGGATCAAGTGATGAGGCAAAGTCCTATCTTCTACTGGGGAAAATACCAATGGGTAGACTAGGAGAAATCAGTGGTGACATTGCGTATAGGAGACTCATTTCTTAATCAGCCTATTATTTCTGAATCTTTCAGCATAATTTATTTAGATATAAGTTTTGAGAGTTTAAGGAGTCTTAAACTGCTCACCCTGTGTAATGCTGTTCCCCACTTTCCCCTCATTTCTGCATTGCTCTGACCTATCATCTCCATAAGATTTAATTTATTTTCTTTCTTGTACACCTCCCCACTTGAGTATAAATAACATGGAACAGGGAATTTGCTCATCTTGTTCACTGCTATAACACCGGTGCCTGGAAGAACATCAAGCACATAGTATGTGCTCAATAAATAATTGAATGAATGAATGTTTCATATTTGTATATTAGCAAATAGACAGGAATATTGTAGAGTGACTTCACCTTGATGGCATTAAAAAGAAAAAGAAAGAAGGGAGGAAGGAAAGAAGAAATTTGTGAAAGCTTCACATTAGCTAATCTCTCCTGATTCAGAGACAAATTACAGCAGGATTTATCACGTAATACAAAGAATTCTAAATGACAGAGACTGATCAGATGGTTCTCGAGACACATGATGCAAAAGAAAGTGCATCACAACAAACTGATCCACAATAAAATACTATTAAAATAAGCAACTATTTATCAATAATTTAGATTAGAAAATAGAAGAACCACAGCTGGGGAGGCCATGGGTCAAATTACCAAATAGATTAAAGGGAGAGATTGGCCTGAAGTGTTATCCCTTCTACTCACGTTCACACACAGGAACGCTGCTGTTCCAAAGGATTTCCATTCCAACCAAGACACAGTAACTAGCAGAATGGCCTTTTAAGTGGAATCTAAGGAAGAAAATAGTACTGAATATGTGAGCTGCTTAAGCCAAAATGACATTCTATTTGCAAAAATCTCAGCATTTTGAGGATCTGAAACCAGCAGAGTTTCAGAGGCCACATCAATCTGGAAAAGTCACAGCTTCCAGTGAGGGAGAACAGCAAAGCACAGTCACTTGGTCACATAATATAGTCCCAGCCTAAGTTGAAGAAGGCAGTTGTAGCATAGCTGCCATCTCCGTGATCCTGGACCTAGGCTCAGAGAAATCTGTCTCTCACTGAGCATCCCACGGTAAAGCTGATAAATCTACTCATAGTCATTATTGGAATAAAACATCCTCCAAGTGATGACACTGCACTGGAACAGCTAGTAAAACAGCTCCCAGTTTGCACTGGACAAGCAGAGAATAACTGGAAAGGGAACAAAAATTGTTCTTTTGTCTCTATATTTGTGATGGTTATGCAGAAGGCTCACAACAGCACACTGGGCTATGGAAGAGTAAGCGTGAATATTCTGGGGGGAAAAACCAAAGGAAAAACCAATTGGAAATGACTCTTGTACAAAATTCTCCTAAATATTATATGGTGCCTGTCAAGGATTCTTTGGAACATTTTGAGGTCAGGTACTTTGTTGCCCATGCTTGATACTTCCCATGTAGAGATGTGCATGCTGTGTAAGGTCCAGTGAATGACCTTACTTAAAACTTTAATATCAGCCACCATAATACCATTTCAGAGCCCTTGGCCTGTTATCAACAAGGTGATATATGATTGGGTTAAAAATGCTTATTCTTATACTTTCTCTCTTATTACAAAATTCACTTTTGATGGTTAAAATTTTTTCTGAAACAATTCTTAAATGATCTTATTTTTAATAAGATTTTTGTCACATATCAAACTTTTTCTGGAGCTCTCCAAATAACTCTTTTTCTTCTTTGCTTGGAAAATATGATTTTTTCACTTAATGTGTCACCTATGTATACTCTTAAACAGTAGTTGTATTTGTGTTTAAGCATGCCATTTAATATCTGTTTCAGTTTTTCCTTCATATCTTATGTTATTAGTTCCACCTGTTCCTTACTCTTAACTTCCCATATACACTCCTCAAATTTAACATCCCTGAGTATTTCCTATTTTAAAAATCACACTAAACCTTCCCCTTTTGAATTAACCTCAGTTTCAGTGTTCAGTAGGCCAGGCAAACTCACACTCACCCCTCATCACAAACGAAGGATACTTTTGCTCCAAGCTGAAAATTAAGTGGAAAGAGGACATGTCCATTAGGTAACTGGTCCAGGAAGTCAGTACATGATTTCACTAGGAAAAAAAAACACACACACACAGGAGTGAGATGTTCCTGTGAGGAACAAAGAGACTGATCCACATACAAGATGACAGCATAGGCACCTGCACACTTGGGGGCTGACGGGCTCCAGTCTCCCTGGGGCGTACAATGCAGAGAAGCAGCCCCTCTGAGATCATAGCCAGGCTCACAGCTGTAGAACACTTCCTGTCCAGAAGAAAAGTTGTTTTTGTGGCTTGGGGTGTGTTTACCATGTGGGACTTTTGGAGGTGGCTGACATACTAAGGAAAGAGAACCAAAGTGCTGTTAATTGTGTGAAAATAACTTTTCCTCAGTGGTAAACTGGCTAAGACAATCAACAGCATAAATCTATTTGTTTTTAAAAATCTGGTAGACTAACACCCTCTCGTTTTATTGATGGCAAAATTGAACAGAGACAGAGACTGAGAGAGAGAGAGAGAGAGAGAGAGAGAGAGAGAGGGAGAGAGGGAGTCTTGCGAAAAGTCATAGAACTGATACACTGCAGGACAGTGACTAGAACTGAGACATCTTCAGTTCATGGTTTTCCATCTAAAGTACACACCCAAGATGACACAACAAACAGTTCCCCTCCACAATTCTTCCTTTTATTGTTCACTTAGTACACAGTTGTTAGATTGATGGATTTTTTTTTTTTTTTTTTGGCGGTACGTGGGCCTCTCACTGTTATGGCCTCTCCCATTGCGGAGCACAGGCACTGGACGCACAGACTCAGTGGCCATGGCTCACGGGCCCAGCCGCTCCGTGGCATGTGTGATCTTACCAGACCAGGGCATGAACCCGCATCCCCTGCATCGGCAGGCGGACTCTCAACCACTGCGCCAGCAGGGAAGCCCCTATTGATGGATTTTTAACTTTATATTTTTATTTTAATTTTTATTGGCACCACCAATTTATATCCACCTTTTTGGCAATAAGGAAAGCTTGAGCCCAAATCTCATCCAACAGATTTCCCAATCACCTATCACACTCTGCTGTGACAAACAAGATTCATACATCTCTTCTCATCTCTTTCCAGCTCCTCTCCAGTGGTCACGCCACCTGACATGGGTTGGTGGAGAAGATAAGTCTCCTTTCTGCACTCTACAGGGCCAGGTCCTGCTTAACCATTCACTTCATTCCAATGAGAAGATGGGCAACCATTGAATGAAATCTTCTAAAAAACCTACAGCCCTCACAATGAGAGTGCATATTCCATACCACATGTTGTAACTGAGCCTCTGTCTCTGTATACAGTTGGTTTGAATTTAGAATCAGAATGCACTTGAATCTCCTAAATTATATAAAACTGTAGTAACATGAAAAGTCATTTCATTTTGGCTTAGATCAGGTCAGTTTCTCTCTCTGGACTTTAGCTTTCTCAAGTATAGAATGGGACATTTGACTAGAATAAATGACCCACTTAAGGACTTTGTAAATACTCTGATGCTGTGACACCCAATTTCAGAGCTCATCACCCCCCTGTTTGCCTTGATTAATAAGTGCACTGTGATGTGATCATTTAAGCGCTGTGCTGGTTAAATCTCTGTTGACTCCCAGCCTTACACTTCTGCATTCTCCTTTGACTGCTGGGGCCAGAAGCCTGAAAGTACAACTGCTAATCTTCCTTGCCAGCTGGGTCCTGGTTAAGCTCTGACAATTGGAGGCATATATACTAAATTAAAAGGTAGGAAGATGATAGAAGTCATTCTTCTTGTAAAGGAGGCTCAGGAAGTGGCAACTGATGGCTCTTCCTTAGCAGCAGCAATATTAATTCTATCAATGCCAATGACTGCAGGCTTCAGCAACCTCAGCTACGTTCTGGCAGCAGCAGCAGCTTCTGCAGCATGAGCAGCTGGAGGAAATACATGCTCAGTGAGTGCAGGTGCCTGTGCTCTAGCCCAGGAGGAATGGCAGCCCCCTGAGCTCTGGTAACACTGCCTGCCTCCTTTTGCTCTTCCCGCCCTTTTAACACCTTTATAATCTCGTACCTGCACTAAATCCCTCACTCCTTGAAATATCTAGAGTAGCTTTCGATTTCCCTGGCTCTGGAGTCAGGTAGGCTTGGGTTCTTGTCTTCACAGAGTTAGTATCTATTTAATCTTGGACAGTTATCTAACCTCTCTAAGACTCACTTTCTCTGTAAAACATGGAAAGAATAGTAACTACCTCATGTCTTTGTTTTAAGAATTAAGTGGGGCTTCCCTGGTGGCACAGTGGTTAAGAATCTGCCTGCCAATGCAGGGGACACAGGTTCGAGCCCTGGTCCATGAAGATCCCACATGCCACGGAGCAACTAAGCCCATGCGCCTCAACTACTGAGCCTGCGATCTACAGCCTGCGAGCCACTACTACTGAATCCGCGTGCCACAACTAGTGAAGTCCACATGCCTAGAGCCTGTGTTCCACAACAAGAGAAACCACCGCAATGAGAAGCTTGCCACGCACCGCAACAAAGAGTAGCCTCTGCTCACTGCAACTAGAGAAAGCCTGCGTGCAGCAATGAAGACCCAATGCAGCCAAAAAATAAACAAACAAATAAATTTAATTAAAAAAAAATTAAGTGAATCCATAGACTATATAGTGGTGCCTAACAAGAAGAATCAGTCATTATGTCATAGCAGTTACAATACTCAAGAGTAATTAATAAATTTTTTTAAAAAGATTATTTTAACTGAAAAAAAGAAAGAACTGAAAGATGATGATGTCAGTAGTGACATCCCAAGGAAATTTTACATTCTTTGCCCAGATTTATCTTTGCTTCTGAGTTTGAACACATACACATGCACACACACATACACACACACCTGCTTTATTTAGTGTCTCCTCCCAAGAAAATTTATGCATCCATACTGCTCACCACACATCCTCCCCGCAGAACCGACACTAACCTCCTGATCCTCCTACAACTCACGTCATTTGTAAGCTCCTTCAAAGCCTCAGTCAGACTCACCCCTGGAGCAGCTGGGCAACTTCGGCCCCCACTTGTTTTGGGCCTGGCATTCAACGGTGGAGGGTCCTTTCATGGCAAAGCCGGGCTGACACCTAAAGCTCACGCTTTCACGTAAAGAAAATAAGCTTTTGTTCTCAGACATCCTTATTCCATTTTCAATGACTGGAGGCGTGCATTTATTAGGTGCAATGCACTGAGGGGGAGGGCCACTCCAGATGCCAACTTGATTGTCTTCACTGGTGCAATATATTGACGGCTCGCCCACGAGGTCAAACAGCTTCTGCCTTCTCTCTCCAAGATTGCAGTGGTAGGTCACCACTGTTCCGTATTGAAAGTATTCTCTGTTGGTGCTAATGAAATCTCCATTGGTGATGGCTGGCGGTGTCCCACAAGGAATGCCTGGGAAAAGGGAAAGCAGTGAATTAAAATAACTAGTGAGAGAAATCAAATGAGTCACTAAATTGTAACTATTTTTACCTTCATTATTTGCTTTTAATCTTTGCTAATATAGATAAGTTTTTATGAAGTTGTAATTTAGGTGGACATACCTAAGTAGAATTTGAGTATATCTGGGTAAACATGAGAATATTTATGAAACTGTAGACTACTGGATGTTAAACATTTTGGAAATCTAAATGATGTAAATGGAAATATAAATTACTAATATTCATTAAAGCAGATATAGAATGCTAGAATAGACCAAGAAACTTGTAAAAATAGAAGAAAAAATTTCACCTATAATTCTATCACAGTTTCAAGTAATATATACTTCTAAATGTAATTTCAGGTGTTTCACAAGAGGTAAAGGAGAGAACCTAGCAACCCATTTTATCAAGCCTAAGTTTGATATCATAATATTATACCCATGTAAAAGTGATCATATAGTAGTCCATCAAAAAAAAAGCTAAATACATTTTAAAATTAGAAGTAAGACTAGTACATAGTAGGACATAGTTAGAAAAAATTGTATTGTTCTAACACTATATAACTGGAACTAAGTAACATCAACCAAAATTCCAAAACACTTAAAATTAAAAATGAAAATTCTTTAGGAAGCTTCTGCTTCTGGTAATGGTAATCTCAATAATTCAAATCAAACATCACTCCACCCATCTCACCCACAGAGAAAAAATGCTGGGTAAAATATAAAACATACAGAATGCATCAGGGTGCTAACAAACTGGTTTCATAGAAGGTTCAAATCCAGGTGAGAGCCAAGCATTTGGGCTACTTTTCCCCCCTGGGAAGGTTAGTTGAACCAGGAGGGGGCATTTGATACTGAAATTAAGAATTTGGATAAGATTGGTTGCAGTTTAGACACAGTTGAAGAAAAATCAATGAACTGGAAACTAGGACAGAAAAAAATATCCAGGACATAACACAGATTGACAAAAGGATCGTAAATAGACAAAAGAGTAACAGAGGAACCATACGTAGAAAGGTGTTTAAAGCATTTATTGCCAGAAGACCTGCAATACAAAAATGCTTAGAGAGAATTCTTTAGGCTGAAGGAAAATAGTGTCACATAGAACTGATAGAACTGCAATACAGAGGAAGTGTAACAGAAAGAGTTAATGTGTAGATAAATATAAATAAATACCACTTTTATAAAAGCAGCAACTATACTGTCTTGTGAGATATATAATATATGTAAAAAATCCAGTAGAAAATGGCAGGAGAGCATCAATGGAGTTAAACTGCTATGGTTCTTGCATTGTTTGGGAGGTGGTAAAAAGCATTATTTATAATAAATTAGATTATATAATAGTAGGTTATAATTAATTAGATTATAATAAATCAAGGATCTATATTGGAGTCTCTAGGATAGCATTAATAAGAAAATAAAGTACAACTAAAATGTTCTTGAGGAGAAAAAAATAGAATAATAAAAATACTTGATTAATTTTAAAATGTGAGAAACCTATAACTAACTAACCTATAACTATAGTTAGTTTAAACCTAACTATATCAGTAACTATATTAATCTGAAATGTCCTAAACATTCTAACTAAAAGCAAAGATTTTCAGACTGAATGAAACAACAAAATCTGAGTATATGATGTTTACAAAAGATCAATTTTATTTTCTTTTATTTTATTTTTATTTATTTTTTGGATGTGCTGGGCAGCTTGTGGAATTTTAGTTCCCTGACCAGGGAACCCAGTCTCTCAGCAGTGAAAGCACAGAGTCCTAACCACTGGACTGCCAGGGAATTCCCAGGTAAATTTTAAATATAGAACAAAGAATGGATGAAAGTAAAAGATCTGAAACATATGTAATACAAAAACAGGAAACAAAAAAAGAAGGCTGTTGTATCTATATTGATATCATACAAAATAGATTTTAAGGCAAGAAATATTATGAAAGGTAAAGAGGGACATTTCATTATGATAAAAGTGTCAATTAAGCAGGAAAATATAATAATTCAAAATTTTCATGTATGTAATAACATAGCTTTTAAATTACATAAAGAAAAATCCCTATAGCTGATAGGAGAGATAGGCAAATCCAGTCATATTTGGTGATTGTAGTGGTTTAAATGGTGATTCCCTAAAAAGATATTCCATGTCCTAACGCATGGTACCTGTGAATGTGAACTTATTTGGAAAAAGAGTCTTTGAAGATATAATTAAGTTAAGGATCTTGAGATGAGATCATCTTGGATTAACAGAGTAGATCTTCAATCTAAAGACCAGAGTGTTTGTAAGAGACAGAAGGGAAGGGGACACACACACAGAGGAGAAGGCAATGTGCAATAGTGGCAGATATTGGAGTGATGCATCTATAAGCCAAGGAATGCCAAGGATTGCAGCAGCCACCAGGGGTAGGAGAGAGGCATAGGACAGATTCTTTCTCCCAGGAAAAGGAACCAGGCTTGCTGACACCTTGATTTTGGACTGCTGACCTCTGAACTATGAGAGAATAAATTTCTATCTTTTAAAGCTACTAAATTTGTGGTAATTTGTTATGGCAGCCCTAGGAAAGTAACACAGGTATTTTACACATTCCCATCAATAACTGAGAGAACAAGTGGAGGAAGAAAAACACAGTAAATCATACTTTCCTAAGAGACATTTACAGAAAATGACATAAAACAACTACACCTTCTTTTCAAAGGCATGTGTAACATTTTACCAAAACTGTCCATATTCTGGGCTATAAAACATGTTTCAAAAAGTTTCAAAGGATTAAAACAAAAGAATGATAACTAAAAAATCTCCAAGTGTTTGAAAATTAAGTAACACACTTTAAAATAAACTATGGATAGAAGAAGATATCAAAAGGAAAATTAGACAATTTTTCTGTATAATGGTAATGAAAACATGAAGATTGTGGGAAGCAAATACAGCACTTTTGAAGAAAAATTTACAGGTTTAAATATATCTGTTAGAAAAAATAAAAGCCAAAACAAAATTATCTAAGCTTCCATATCAAGAATTAATGAACAGAGAACACCAAATTAAGCTCAAAGAAAGTATCAGAAAGGAAATAATAAATCAGAAATCAATAAAATAGAAACTAGTTATACACTACAGAAGATTAAGTTAAAAGTTGTTTTTCAAAAAAATCTTAGAAAAAATTTTAAATGCCTAGTAAAAGTAATCAAGAGAAAGAAATTTTAAAATGTTACCATTATCAAGAATTAAAATAGAGATATCAGTGCAGACCCCATATACATTAAAATATAATAAGAGGATATAATGAACAACATTATACCAATAACTTAGCAAATGTAAATGAAATACATTCCTTAAAAAGCACAACATACTAAAACTTATTAAATAAGATATTAAAAATCTTTAAAAAATTTAGAGCTATTGAAGAAATTAAATCAGTAATTAAAAACCTAATAACAAAAACGCACATCCAGATTGCTTTACTGCTGAATTATTGCAAAGATATAAAGAAAAATAATATTAATGTTACATAAATAATTCCAGAGAATAGAAAGGAATGAATACTTTCCAAAACATTTTATAAGACTAGCATAATCTTGATGCCCAAACCTGACAAGGGCATTAAAAGAAAAAAATAGAGTTCAACATCTCTTGAGAACATAAATGCAAATTTTCTAAACAAAATATTAAGAAACTGAACACAGCAGTACTTACAGAGGATGGTATAATGGTCAAAATAGGAATTTCATTGACTAATTTAAAAATATTAGACCAATCTTACAATACTTGAATAAAAAAATATTAGCAATCACACACACACAAACACATACACCACACACAAGATAATCATATATAACACATCATGACCAAGATGGATTTATTCTAGTAATTCGAAGCTGGCTAGCTTTCCAAAGATCAATCAATGTAATACAAAACATCAACAAAGTAAAGGAAAAACAGATATGACTATCTCAATAGATGCAGAGTGATAAATTAGAACACACATTCATGATAAGTCTTTCAGCAAATTAGATAGCAAAAGGAATTTCCTTAATCTGATAAAGGATATCTGCCATAAATTTACAGGAAATATCATGCTTTATAATGACTATGTAAAACCAATATTATCTCTTCCATTCGACATTGTACTGGAGTTTCTAGCCAATGCAATAAAATAAAAGAAATAAATAAAAGATACAGGAAAGGAAAGAATTTAAAAATATGACAATTATTCACAAATGACATGATTGTTTATGCAGCATATCAAAAAGAATAGGCAGATAAACTATTGAATTTAAAAGAAAATTTAGCAAAATTGCTGGATTCAAGGTCAAATGATTGCATGTTTAAGAAATAAACAATTAGAAAATAAAATTTTGAAAAAGATATCTAGGAATAAATCTAATAAATGATGTTCAAGACTTCTATAATGTAAACTGGAATATATTAAGAGAAATTAAAGAAGACTTCAAAAATGGAGGGATATATCATGTTCATGAATTTAAAACTCAAAAACATAAATATGTTAATGGTCCACAAATTGATCTACTGAGTCAACAGAAACTCAATACAAATTCAAGCAGGATTTTTTTTGTGTGTGTGTGTAAACTGACAAGCTGATTCTAAATTTTATATGGAAATGCAAAGGGCCAAGAGTTACCATGTAAATCTTGAAAGTAAACGGTTAGAGGATATGAGCCACCAGATATGTCTTAATATAATTCTATAGAAATGAAAACAGTGTAGTAAATAAACCAAAGGAAGAGAACCTCTCTGGAATGAGATTCACATATCACATCACCTGACTCATGGGCATTGTGGTATATAAGGAATGGTCCTTTTAAATAAATTTTATTAGATTAATTGTCTATCCAACAGGGAAAAGAAGCCACAAAAAATGAATACTTTGACCATACTCCACACCATACAAAAAATAAATTTGAGACGAATCACAGACTTAAACATGAAAAATAAAATGATAGGCAAAGATTTTTTTTTAAG